CAAACTCATTATTTAATTGAAATAAATTTCTAAAAAATATAGTATATGTATGAACTATATTTAGTAGATTTTAAAAACTAATATCTCAATAGCATAAATATAAAATTCATAATAATAAAATAGTCAAGGAATTAACAAAAAGGGAAAATGAATACACAAATTGTGGATATGAATAAAAACATTCATTGAGCCATTTCTTCAAACATCTTGTAGACAAAAGTGAAACAGAATAGTTTGAATTAAAGCTTCAATAATAAGCATAACAAATCTATAACAATATACCAATGTAATCAAGCATTCAACATTAACATATTTCATATACATACAATCGAAGAAAACCCTAAATTTACAGAAAACACAATGAACAAGGTAGAGAAAAACATAGTTTGAATTTTACATTGAAAAAGTGGATGGTCATTGATATATTCGAAGTAGATTCACCGTCTTTATCCCTCCCATCTGCATCACTTCGAGCCGCAAGAGCATTGTTCATGTTGGAGTTGGTCTTGTGCTAGAGTGTCATAAAAGAAAGAATTTAACGGAGAGAGAAACAAAAGAAGAAGAAGAAGAAGAAGAAGAAGGGGGTGTTTGGAACTGATTCTGCTTCTACTTCTTTTTTAAAAGCAGAAGCAGAATCAGAATCAGTTTTCAGAAGCTGGTACCCCCAGCTTCTAAAAAAACTTATTCTGAAAGTAAATTAGAGCTCCAGAAGTGCTTCTGGAATTTCACCCAAACACTTCAGCTTCTACTTCTGCTCCCTGAAGGAGCAGAATCGGTTTTGAGAATCAGATCCAAACACCCCCGAAGAAGAAGAAGAAGAAGAAAGAGAGAAGAAGGGTGAGAGATGCGTACGAGAATGGGGGAGAGGGGAAAATGGCTTAGAATGAGGGAGAGAGGAAAAGAGGAGAGAAATGGCGTAGAAAAGGGAGGGGAGAGAAGCGAGAAGGGGAATGGGTAAATTGGATGAAAGGGGGTAATTATTTTTTGGGAGTATATATAGTGGGTATATAGTGGGTTTTGAAATGGGTACAAAGAGCATTGCTCATGATGTAACTGCCGATGATGTAAAAAAATTTGTTTTTCAGTATTTCTTAAATTTGCCGATTGAAACTGCTATCCACCACATGAGTCAACATGTTTTCCTTGAGCGAGAACCGTCACTATTTAGGCCTTTTTATATTAGTATAGATAATAAAAACGTCAATGCTACAAAAATGACATTGTAATAATGACAATGTCAATGTTGATGTCGATGTCCATGAGTGTCATGACAATGTCATATAATGACATTGATTTTTAAACAATGACATTATATTACATTGTCATATAATGTCATTGATTTTTAAACAATGTCATTACATTACATTGCCATATAATGACATTGATTTTTAAACAATGACATTATATTACATTGCCATATAATGATATTGATTTTTAAACAATGAAATTATATTACATTGTCATACAATACATGTCACAATGTAAAAAATGTCGCAATGTTGAATAATAATTAAAATATTGTATCAATGACATAAAATGACATTGTAATAATCACAATGTCAATAGTAGTGTCAATGACTATCCTAACATTGTCATTATATGACAATGAAATGATGTCATTGTTTTAAAATTAATACCATTGATTGAAAAAACAGAAAGGTAAAAAATAAAAAATAAAAGTGTGGCAATGTGAAACTTTGTTATATTATGGCAAACATTGTCAATATGTATATATAAAAATGTCACAATGTCAAATAATTACAATATCATTGTCATTATTATAAATCACGACATTGTAATAATGGCATTGAGAATGAAACCGAAAATTTATAATTGTATGCTGTCACTATCAAATTGGAAATTGTGTTGATATATTAAATATATTATTCTTGTTTTAAAAATGTCATTATATTAAAATCACTTATCAACATTTTGATTATTAGAATTTTAGCAATGTCAATATCATAGTAAAATGTATAATAATGCATATGTATAAGATAACATTATAATGGTCAATAACTAAAATAAATCAAAGAAATATGCAGTAGTAAAAAGGATTTTTTTTTGGAACAGTAAAAAGGAATTAACATAAAAATTAAACAAAGCAACACATTAGAGTTACAATTTGAAAAAGGAAATTATAAGAAAAAAAAGAAACATTAATGAACAAAACAAAGTGGAATCACACATTTATAAAAATCAAAGACAGCCAAGGAAGAAAAGAAGAGGAGAGAAAACAGATCGAAGGAAGAAAAAGGAGAGGAGAAGAGGAAAGGAGGAGAGAAAAAAGGAGAAGGAGAAGAAAAATAGATATATCTAGAGCCCGTTTGGTAGCACGAAAATCGGCTGATTTGGCTGATTCTGCCGAAATTTATGAAGTTCTGGTTGAAGTGGTTGCATTGGTTGATTCTGCTGATTTAAGAAAAAAATATTTTTAAAATATATTTTATTAAAAAAGTAAAGAAAAAATTAAATGTAAAAAATAGCTAAAATGGTCATCTACAGTAACTTCAGCCAATACAGCAAGAAAAGTAACTACAATCTTACTTTTTCTGCTTATTACACAAATTCAGCGCGCGAAAGCAAATGTTACGTGCTTGGTGAAAAAGCTGATTGATAAGCCGAAAAACAATGCTTCCAAACGGCCTCGTAATAGAAGAGTCAAGAGTAGAAGCGAGCGTTGGCCATTGGGGATGATTCGGGAGGCAGGACTCTCATTGAACAAACGTTGTGTGCGGCAGAAGCTTATGGACCGACCTCGTATCATCATCATCGCAGGCCGCCATATCTGTTTGAGAGGAAGAAGATACAAAAGAAAAGAAGGGGAATATCGATCCAGAATCAATTGATGCGAGAGAGTGCAACCTGTAAGTTGAATGGGATAACTTGATAAGGGTAAATAAGTCAAGCCAAGTAAAATGAGTCCTATTTGAGTATTTAATAAGTTGAAGTCCTATTTACTTACCCAATTAAAATTCTAGTCCTATTGGCAACCATTTCTCTTTTTTCATTCATTTCAAAATGATTTTTCGAATATTGAATTGTTCACCTTACATAATACAATTTGTTAAGACCTGATCCCACCAAATACAAATTGTGCGTGGGTAACATACGAAGTATTTTAGTTCAAAAGTGATCAAAATATTACTACGTAATTTATAAACCACTTTCCCTCATAATTACTACTACGAGTATGTTTGGCACAACTAGCTGAAAAGATACTTTTGTGAGCTTTTTAGTAACTGTTAGCTTTTAGTGACTGAAAAGATCTTTAAAAGAAAATGTGATAGCTGTTTGGTAAAAAGCTGACTGTTTGATTTAGTTCGGTTTGGTATACAAGCTGTTAGGAGTTAGGACTAATTAATACTAAAAGTCACGAGCTTTTCTCAGATGCTACACCTGGTAGCATCTCAAAAAAGATCTTTTGATTTTTGAAAATCTCTTAAAAAATGTCATGTCAAACATACAACTAATGTCTTTTAAGGTCTTTTTAAAGAAAAGAGAAGCTAGAAGGCAGAAGCTTTTGTGTGCCAAACATGGCCTACGTATTACACTATTCTAAGATTTTAAACTGTAAGTTACATGCTCGGAAATGTAAAGGAAATTAAATAATTCCTACGGGTATAATTGAGAGCCCGTTTGGTAATCCTGTTTTTTTGGCTTATCAGTCAATATTTTCACTAAACACGTAACTTTTCATTTCGCGTGCTAAATTGTGTACTAATAAGAAAAAAGGTTGTAGTTACTTTTCTAGTTATATTGGCTGAAATTATGGTAGAGGATCGTTTTAAACTAATTAGTCTCCCGCCTAGGTGCTAGGCAATGGCCGGCGCCCCGATTGTTTGTCTAGGCACTCCGATTAATTGATTTGACGTCTAAGTGAATTAATCGACTGCCTAGGATGAGGTTGAGGTCCTTTCTGGTGGAATTTTTTTGATAAATTTTTTATCACGTTCTCCATCAAATTTAGATTATTTCCATTAAATTTTAGCTTAAAATTCAACAGAGAAGTCAGTTAAATAAAATATTGAAACATATTGCGCTTTATGTATATAAATAATGCGCAATATGTTTCAATAATTTAATTAACTGACTCTGATTGAATTTTAAGCTGAAATTTTGTGGTAATCATCTACACTTGATAAAAAAAACACAATATTTTTAAGGAACCATATATGACTCTTGTATGGAGTCATATATGCTAGGTGAGCATCACCATCCCCACACATTTATTAAATGAGGACCCCCACTATAAATATGGTGATGAACTGATAATGATGTCCACCTAACATATATGACTCCATACAAGAGTCTCATATGGCTCTTTAAAACTTCTCATAAAAAACGCATTCAAAAAATTTCATCAAATAATTCCACCAGGAAGGTCCAAAATGGTCTTGGTGTGACAACAGTTCCCGTTAAGCCAACCTGATGAGAATGCTATGTGTGTGTGTATGAATCTTTAAATTTAACCACGAAAATGAAGAAAGTTACATGTAAATTAAGATAAAAACTACTGTGCATATATGTTTGTATATATACTTTAGTTTTATTACTATTTAATATTTATATTATAATGAAGTTAAATGATTAGTAATTATACAATATAGGAGTATCATTCAATTTGACAATTCTATCATTCATGGATGTCAATGTATAATTTTATATACATAAACACTATAGGCACCTAAGTGTTGAGCTGGCGTCCGACTAGCGTCTTTTAGAAAAATTGGTTGCCCAAAGATTAGACCTAATAGAGTTGTTGCCCAAAAAAAAGTGGTTGCCCAAAGATTAAGAACCCAATGACCATGTTTTTCGTCTTATCGAACTTATAAGACACTTTTTTTATCAAACATGTAACTTTTAATTTCAAACGTCTAATTGTCTAATAATAAGAAAAAGTTAGGCCAAAGCCACCAAACAAGCTCTAATTGAAAAGGTGAATAGCCAAACTGCCAAATTATGAGCCGGAAAATCACACGATTGTTTGTTCGTTTGATTTCAATTCTTCGTTAGTTTAGTAAAGTAGCTGGATTCAATTCAGTCTGTAGTCTAGCTGTGATAAATTCCTTCCAAGTTGGCTAAAATATGGAAACGAAGGCATTCATTATAGGGCTAAATATGTACTTCCGCCAGGCACACAAAAAATAAGATAAGAAACCTAAAACAGAGAGAAAAATACTAGAATTGGCCGGGCGGCGGCGCTCAGATCTAAGATCATCTATCGGCGTTTCCGGTGGAAACAAACTTCACAAACGGAGCCGGCTCGAAGGAAAACGGAGCTGCCGGATGCTGCCACTCCTTAAAGCCCGTCACCGGAGTCTTCTCCGCTTCTCTAGCCTCGCCCTTCTTCTCCCTGCTCGAATTCGAACACAATTTATCTGCTGCGGCCGTCAAATCGTTGGAAGCCGGCGAGGTAACCAACGGCGATAGAAGCGGTATAGCCACATTCCAGTCCCTGGCGCGATTAATCTGAATCGATGCCGGCGCTTTCTTCTGCAACCGACCCGACTGCCGCCGGTCACCTGACACATTCTTCCTATTCTCCGCCATTATTATTGTTGTTATTACAATTACAATAATAATCTCTTAGGGAGATGAAATGGCGGATTTGATGCTAACTAAGAGAGATTATTATTGTTAATCTTAGAAAGATGTGCAGTAGAAGGTTGTTTATATATACTAATATAGGGTATGTGGTGTACGCACGTTGGTTGGGAGTGGGGTTAGGACAGGTGTAATGTAATATGGGAAAAAATCGCAACGAGATCCAGTCAATGGTCAAGGGAGCTAACTTTCTAGTAAAAGATCAATTAATTATTTTCATTATGTTGCTGTCAGCCTGTCACAACTCACATGAGCGGATAGGCTTGTGCCGCATTAGGTAGGTTTATTTATACTCCATTAAAGCTAACTTTATCAATTTTAATTTTGATTAAAAAACGAAAAATGGTTAAGGTACACAAAATGCACATTAATACAACTTATAATTAGTTGTCTGTGACAGACAAATTTTCTGTGAAAGACAGACATGTGTACCTCTAGCACAACTCTAAAAAAAAGAGTTTATCAAAACTTTTTTTTTAAATTTTGATTAAAGAGTTTATGTTTTGTGGGTTCGGTTAATTCTCTCTTCTTTATCAAAACTTCATCTACAACATTTTTACTCCCTTCGTCCCAAAATGTTTGTCTTAGTTTGACTTCACAAATATTAAGAAAATGAATTTGACTTTGCACTGTAGCGACACTGTTTGACACTGTTTTGCACATTTAATACTGTTTGATAAAGATTTGTTTGGAAAATAAGGAAGTTAAAGAAGTAGGACAAACATTTTGGACATCCATTTTGAGAAAGTAGAACAAACATTTAGGGACGGAGGGACTGTTGTTTATTCCCATGTTCAATAATAAACTTCATCAAATTTTAAGGGATGGAATGAGTTCTACCCGTAGTACCATTTTTTGGAGTGGCAAAAGCTATAGTGTGAGATTTATTCCGTAGTACACTAGTACCCAAGGAAAAAAATGTTACTTGAAAGGAATGCAATTGAATTAAAAACAAAATTATTTGAATCAAAATGTCTATTCAAATAAAATACTACATTCATCCACTCAAAGATTCCCATCGCAAAATGTATAATTATTTGGATAATAATAATATATGATAATTTGAGAAAATAGTTACATAATATAATGAGTTGATTGATGATAGTTGTGGTGTTATAGATATATTATTTTTTATACTTGATGATTAAATTGTCATTTAAGAGTATTAATTATTTCTTAAAATAGACATGAGAATTTTAAATTAGACGTCCCAAAAAGATAATTGAGAACCTAAAAATGAGATGGAGAGAGTAGCGATATGCCTACTTCTAGCTTTTTGATTAAGTGATCAATCAGAATATCTTAAATGTATATTCTTCATGTTTTTTTGGCTGCACTTTCTCTTTTCTTATAGTATATGATCTGCTAAATGCCAACATGCTTGATTGGCATGAGTTTCGAACATGTGACCTCATCCTTAAGAGTGTTATATGGATATCATTTAATCACAATGTGCTTAACTATATATTCTTCATTTGATCATTAGAGATAGGGGGAAAAATTATGGGCAAGCATAAGGGAGGTTGGGACACCAAACTTTACAATTGGGGGGTGGGGAGATTAAAGATTGGGATGATGAGATCACTTAGTTTCTCACGGTACAATAATATTATAGTACCGTGACACTGTAAATTGAGCTCAAACTCTGAAATCAAGCTCGCCATAAATCGAACCTCTTATTACCTCCGGCCCACTAATATTAGGACGAAAGTGGGTGACACAACAATTAAGAAACATGTGTTTATGTGGTTGATATTAAATGATAAAGTAAGAATAAAATAAGAATGATTTAGAGCCACACAAACTTTACCAAATTTGGTATGGAACAACTCTAGTGCGATATCCCAAAAAGGTAAAATGAAACAATAGTAGCGAGACAGAGGGAGTAGTTTTTATCATGAATAATAGTGTAGATTTGTAAGGGATGATCAAGTTGCAAATGGCTCCGGCCTATTTCTCCGACTTGCACAAAACAACGTGCAAATAAAGATCAATCATGCTTCATGTACACATTTTTGTACACGTCATTTTATACGCTGGTCAAATTGTTTGTGGATAGACAAATTCTTTTCATTTTGTGAAAGGAATTGTTTTTCGCACCGATATAGTTTCTTTTGTTTGTCGCACAGATAAAAGAATTTGTCGATGCGAGAGTTTGTTCTCTTTACAAAACTAAAACAAATTATCTGTGCACAGACAATTTGATCGACGTGTAAAATTCTGTGTACAAAAGACGTCTACAAACAACATTTTCCAATAAAGATATATTATCGTAGTGATTTGTTAAGATTCAGGGTTTCATCCTAAAAGGTCAACCTGATAGGAGGAGTAACACGTGTCTTAATATAGCACTTCGTTGATTCAAGTATTTCCGGACTCTAACATAATTCATATATACTCTAATAGTGCTCCGAATGTGGATAGCGATATATTATTTCAAAGATAATAATGTATGTGAGTATGTCACATAATTTTTTAAATAATTCTCCTAGAAGAGACTCTTCTTTAAATATTTCTCCACAAAATTGAGTTTGATTTCACAATTGTTCTCGAGTTTATACCTCTGTTCTAAAAATCGTTCTAGGCGTCTGACTAGTTCCCGCCTAGGCGCTAGGCGGTGGTCAGGCGTCCCGTTTTTCGTCTAGGCGCTCCGACTAATTGGTTTGCCGTCTAGAAGAATTAGTCGGCCGCCTATGATGCCTAGTTACCCGCCCACAGCGCCTAATCGGCCGCCTAGGCCGTCTAGATTCGTCAAACATTACTTTGCTTTTCAATTTTAATTTTCTAAGTGATATAAGTACTTTAACTTTAGCCACGGATATAAAGAAATGAAGTTGTAAATTAAGATAAAGACTATATATGTTTGTATATATACCTAAATTTTATTAATATTTATATTTAGAACATAATTAAGCTAACTATTTAGTTATAATATACTACGTATGATTAAATGTGGTAATTTTATCATTCATGTTTGTTAATGTATGTGTATATATGTATTTTATTCACACAAGAATACAATATTACTTATCATATTTATGTAAAAAATATAGATAAAAATGCAATTTCTATGTTCCGACTAGGCGCCCACCTAGCCGCCTAGGCGCTCGGCTGGCGCCCGACTAACGCCTATCACCTTTTAGAACATTGGTTTATATATCGACGCCAAAGGCAAGTGAGATAGAAACAAACTACCTTTTAGCGGTCTTCTTACAATAGTCTCACCTTTTCGTTATTCATGAATAATTCAACCTTTGCACTTCATTTTCATTCACTGGTCCCTGACCGGTTGATGACCTGTTGTTCCAAGTTATTTTCTTATCTTTGCAAACCATTATACCATAAATCTCACCTTTCACAAAGATAATATTTTGCAAAGATAAGAAAATAATTTGGAATAGCAGATCATTAACCGGACAGGGACCAACGAATGAAGATGAGGTGCAAAGTTTGGATTATTCTTGAATAACGAAAATGTGAGACTATTGTAAGAAGACCGCTAAAAAGTTAGATTATTGTAAAAGGTTGGATTTGTGATTCTCTCCAAGTACTCGTTGATTCTAGCGTTCCGTTTCAATCAAAGAGCCACTCACAACAAAAATCCTTTAACTATACTGATTGTAAATGAAGTATTTCCCTTTTTATATGGCCACCCAGGGGTAGAGCTAGGGGAGGGTCAACCTTGGCCCATCTCAATTTTTAAAAAGGGAAAACTATCAAAAGAGCTCCCTAACTTTTCAAAAAAATCAATTAAGCCCCCATACTAAAAATCCGATCAATCAAATCCTCGTACTCAATTAAAAATGCCAAATTCTCTTTTTGGCCGGTAATTAATGAACAGGTTGCAGGTTATTTTGTACACGTGGGACACACTGGAGCTCCCTAACTCTTCTTAAATGGAGATTTACACGAAGATGTTTATATGATACAACAAGAAGGTTATGTTCTAAGGGTCAAGAACATCTAGTGTGTAAGCTCAAGAAGTCTATTTATGGGTTCAAACAAGCTTCTCGACAATGGTACCTCAAATTTGATGAAGTCATGAAATCATATGGCTTCATTAAAAACAAAGTAGATCAATGCACTTACCTCAAAATGAGTGAGAGCAAATTCATCATACTTGTGTTATATGTTGATGATATCTTATTAGCAAGTAGTGACTTGGATTTATTGCATGAAACAAAACACTTATTATTTGCCATTTTGACATGAAAGATCTAAGTGAAGCTTCTTATATTTTAGGCATTGAAATTCACCGAGATAGAGTCAAATGGACGTTAGACTTGTCCTAAAAGGCATACATTAAGCGCATGTTACAAAGTTTCAACATGCAAAAATGCTCTCCAATTCTCCATCAATTGCTCCAGTAGTTAAAGGAGACATTTTTGGGTCATTCCAATGCCCAAAAACCGAAGTTGAGAAAGAGCAAATGAAACTCATTCCAGACCCACCCCCTAACCCCCGGTTCGGGCCTAGGCCCGGTACCCGCCTACCGCGTCGGGCCAGTCCCACACAGTAGCAAACCAGTTCGGTTCCCGGGCCAGTCGGACCTGCCCCAGACCATGCCTATATAATACTCCGTATAAGAGAACCTTGGTAAGTTCTTTGTCACTTGTCAGACTCAGAGACCTTTTCGCCAAATTTATCATCTCTCTCCATAAGGTGTACTAAAAAGGTCGTTCATCTCAAACAAATGCGATTCTTAGAAGTTAACTATGTAATGTAATCCTGGAATGATAGTTAACTACAAAGTTTGTCTTTTACGCAATAACGCAAACACGCTTGTACATATTACAGGCTTGCGAGTTACAGCTAAAAAGGGACAAACGATACTGAGGAAAAAAGAGTTTCAAAAAGGGAAATTTTAATACAGTAAACAATGCCTACTTACCCACAGTTGCAGAACCATACATTCATTCTGGTACCCTTGGAAAATTCAAAAACAAAATTATGACAAAGAAGAAAAGAAATATAGGATGATGACATAGTAGAAGGACAAAGCATGAATATTGCTACAAAAAGTAATTCGTGTCAGCCGTCAACAATGGTACAACATACACCCACACACATCTAAGCCGCTTTTGGCTTTGGTGTCTTTCTCCTTAGTTGCCTCTTTGA